CAAGATATAGATAGGCTTTCCGAACACATCAACTCGAAAGTTAAAGCAATTCAATTCACTTATGAATTGGAAAATCAGAAAGGGGAGCTCCCAATGTTAGATTGCAACATAAAGAGGAAAGAAGATGGGAAGGTAAACACTAGTGTTTACAGGAAACCCACACACTCCAACAGATATTTTGACTTCCCATCATCCCATCCTATGTCAGTGAAAATAGGATTGGTGAAATGTTTAAATGACAGAGCACAAAAATTAAGTAGTACCAAAGAAAATCTAAAACAGAAGCTTTGAAACTTGATAATTACCCGGATAAATTAGTCAAGAAATATGTAAGAGAATGTAGAAATAAAATAAATAATGATAGTGGCGATAGTGATAATAACAATAATAATGATAATGATAGTAGTGACAATAATAATATTGATGACGACACCAACAATAAGGAATCTAAATCATCAGTAGTAATTCCATACAAGGAAGGAACCTCGGAAGCCTTACGCAAAATTCTTGAAAAGGCAGAAATAAAAATGGCATTCAAACCAACAAACTCAATTAGAAACAAGCTTTGTCGGTTAAAGGATCCTTTGAAGCCATGAAAACCTGCCTGAATGGTTGTCAGGTCAAATACATAGGTCAAACTAGTAGAACAGGGGCAGTCAGACTAGCTGAACATAAAAACCTAGCAAAATCTAGATTGGTTGACCCGAATAAGATAAGAAATCTAGAGAATAGTTCAGCTATACCACTCACTACATGCAGTTACACACAACCATACAATAGGATGGGATAGGATGACAGTTTTAAAATCTAATGTCACACGGTATATGCTAAAATTTTCAAACTGAATTGACAATACTGTTTGAAACAAATTCACTGTTACTATTATTATTATTATTATATTTAATATTCTCAATTTGTGCTTCGAATATTTTTGACTTTATATCGCACACGTGGACAAATTTCTCTGGTTAATTTTGTTTTAATTTTTAATTTTATTTATATTTTGAGGAATGAATCAGATGCGAGATATTGTGACAAGTGCTGAGAATTCCATTCTGTATTATTATAAGTAGTGCTGTCTGTTTTGGAATAAAGTAGATTATTATTATTATTCGTTTATCCGTTCGAACTGAAATACATGGTGGTCAATATCATTTTCAAGGGATAAGATCTCGGCAGCTCCGTTGTGGTGTGATTATTTAATTGTTCACTCTCTATCTTTAAATCAACGCAAACAAATCCATCTTTTTGAAGCCGCACGTGTTATATTCTCCCTTCAACAGTTGCGGCGGTCGGTGTTAAGTGTGGCTTGATCACCAGGTAAGGTGGATTAGACTAAACAGTCAGCAGGTAGTGTGGATAGATATCAAATCTAGCAGGACTGATAGCCAGACACACAACAATCGTCGTCAGCTTTATTTTTTAGTTGAAGTCAACTGGAAGCGATTTGGAATCTGTGTGCACGTGGCCTAGCTAGTTGGTAGATCCTAGATGTGAAATAATCCGTTGATGAGTTTTATGTGTACCTTAGTGTCGAAAGTTCTCATGTTCCTATGTTTGTATGTATGTATGTATGGGTGAAATGAGCGAGATAAAACAGAATCATCATCCCTCAGTACACCACACCACACCACTTGTAGGACACTCCAAAGTCAAGACAAGGCAAGGCAACCGAAACAAGTTTAATCCAACCAGCTTCTGTTACAGACTTCAAATTCATCGACTTTGAAAAGCCTTTGACAGCGTCGATCGAGAGGTGATTTGGAAACTACTTCGCTACTACGGGGTGCCACCGACAATTATAAGTCTCACTTAACAGCTGTAAGACAATGCTGCATGCCAAGTAATCCACAATGGGAAACTTACGGAATCCTTCGAAGTGAGGACAGGAGTAAGACAAGGCTGCCTACTATCACCAATGATTTTCTTGATTGCAGTAGACTGGATAATGCGAGAAACAGTGGGCAATGAGGAAACAGGCATAAACTGGACACACACAAAAAACGTGGAGGATCTCGACTTCGCCGATGATATATGTCTGATTTCCCACAAACTGGAAGATATCCAAGCGAAAAGCAACAAGTTACCAGAAGAAGCATCAAAAATAGAAGGGTCTTCAGGTGAGCATAGATAAAACAGAGGTGATGAAAATTTCTGGTCAACACCACCAACAGTAACAACAAAAACGGACAACAATCAGCCAGCATAAATAGGAGGAACCTGAAAGAAACAACCTCCCTCACGTACCTACCTGGGAAGCATCGTTTCAACTACAGGCGGAACTGACGAGGATATCAAAGAAAGGATCGGAAAAGCAAGACAAGCTTTCACTACTCTCAAGTCTGTGTGGAGGTCAACAACACTCAGCATCAAAAATAAGATCCGGATTTTCAACTCCAATGTGAAGTTAGTCAGTGCTACTCACTTCACGGATCAGAGATTTGGCTAGCGCGTCATAAAGATCACCTCAAACAAACTAGAGACCTTCGTCAACAGCTAGTTGTCTTCGCTCAATACCACTGAAGATCAGATGGCCAGGAAATATCAGCAACAGAGATCTCGGAGCGAACCAAGCAGGAACCGATTGTGAAACAAATAAGCAGGAAGAAATGGAGGTGGATACGCCATACTCTGAGGAAACAAACCATCAAGTGAGTGACATCACTAGACAAGCCATAGCTCGAGTGGAACCCGACGGAATTGGAAGCGGTGAGTTGGTCGTCAATGTGACGGTGGGTGACTTGGAGGAGGTCATGTGAAGAGGAGATGAAAACGTGTGGGCAGACTTGGAGCCAGGTGAAGACTCTAGCAGAGAACAGAACGCAATGGAGACACACGGCTGAAGCCCTATGTTCCTGTAGGAATTAAAGGATATAATAATAATATAATAATAATCTGTTACAGACAGCGTCAACTATGACAGGCTGGTCTATCTGGTCTATCTAGAAAAAGATCCTAATTATATAATGCCGAAATGGCTTTCATAACTGGTTGTAGACAGCGACAATGCAGAGCGAAAAATATTCAAACACACTGGCAAACTAGCAAAATAGACAGCTAACCACATCACTTAGTAAATGTCATCCTTCATGTGTCTTCGACAGACCTCCAACTAAATGAGCTCAACTGAAAGTGTATTTTCTTCATATTCCACCATTTTTTTTTACTAACTTGAAAATCCCCATTCAGTCATATAAAAGATAAGAAGGCGTTCAGCGAAGAGACTCTTTTCGGCTAATTCATTCACTGAGCTGTACAATCGCATATTTATACAATTTTGTTTGTGTGTGTGTGTACATTAAATTTATAAAGTTTAGATAATTATGTAATATAAGTAATTTTTGGCTTGGAAACAAACGTTAAGATGGAAAATAAAATAGAATTGATTAAGTGAGTAGAATTCAGATGAGGTCAGGTTGGAAACAGTGTTAATGAGTGGTGTTTAAAATCAAGTAAGGGTGGGGTTAGAGAATAATACAGTTGAAAATAAGTAAGTTAATCGGATGACGTAACTCAGTTGACTAGAAATTGGACGTGGGTCAAGTTAGTAACATTGGTAATGAGGGTAGAGATTACAAAAGGGTGGGGTAGAGAATAATATAAGTGAAGATGTGAAATAATAAAATGCAAGAGACAAAATAATACAATTAGTAAGACTGAAATTAAGAAAGATTACGTCCATTGTAGATTTAATGAATGAACGAATTTCTTTTGTATGCAAAGTTCAGGATTTAGCAGATGGATTGCCATTGCTTCTGCGATGTGGAGAAGTTTGATCCGTACACTTTTAGCAAGATTGCCTTGTATTCTGTAGATAACTTTGAAGTTTATTTCTGGTTTGATTTGGTGTCCAGAGTCGATCAAATGTTCAAGGATCGAGCTGCGGGGGCATCGGTTTTCTCCTTTATAAAACCATGAAGGTAAATGTTCGTTGACGCGTTTGGATAGTGAACGCTGAGTACGGCCGATATACCTGGCTCCACACGAGCAGGTGAATTGGTAGATGCACATATAGATGAGGCCAACAGCGGTAGCTTATCCTTCATGGACATACGAATCATTGGTCTCACGGAGAACGTCAGTCGTAATTCAGCTGCATTGAAGGTTTTCTTCAATGAGCGGGAGAGCCGATTTCTCAGTATTTCTGTAGATTGGTCTCCATTGAACTGTAGGTTCATATAGAGAAGTCTTTTTGGAGCACTGGGTGTGGACGGCTTCTCTGGTCTGGGTTTCATTGATTTTGTGATAAATCTTTCTGGATAGCCATTTTCAAGGAGGATTTTCTTAAGAGTGTTCATTTCATCTTCTATGGCGTCCAGGCTGCTCATTAACTCATTTTTACTCATTAACACCTTCACAAGGAAATATGTAATTTTGTACTTTATATACCTCACTCAAACTCTTCTTGATTTCGAAACGTTGGTTATATATGCGAGGAACGTTTTGATCGCATCACGTATATAGATAGGTACAGCAGTAAGTTTGTACTTCCTTGCTAACGTCACATTTCTATTAATCGATCTCTGCATTTCATGATGATTGTTAATTACTGTCTCAAATGAAGATCTAGGAGCGATGAAGCGATGTTGACATTCACACAAAGTACGATGTATACAAACGCAAGCGAATCTCTATCCTCCGGCTCTCAGAAGTGCTTGTTCTGTTTAGACCACACCACAGACAAATCAAAACAACGAATTGAATGGTCCAAAGTACAAGGTGTGTTTCAGGGTAAGACGAGTAGTGCGATAATGACTGCTTAGCTAGGCGTATAAAAGGGATCGTGAACGACAGATTGAACGCAATTCGATAGTGTGTTTGATTCCCATAGTTTAGACTTGCTACCATCCGTAGTTAAAAAGAAATAAGGAAACAGCGGCGTATAAGAGTGAGTGTAAGAGTGTTATAAGTATTATGAGTAGTGCTGTCTGTTTTGGAATAAAGCAGATTATTATTATTATTAATGCATATATATATACGGAGAGAGAGGATTGACGTACTTTTTGCCGACTAATTCCGGGAGCATGTCAGCCATGATTACAGCCAAAGACGTCGCTGCTGAACACTCGACAACACACTTCTCCACTTCCAACAGGCGTACAACTGCCCGATGTATGTGGGACTCGTTCAGCGTGATCACTTTGTCCACGAGATGACGACACGTCTGGAATGCATTCACGCCAACCATGGAAATTGCTAAGCCTAAACAGAAAAGAAGAGAATACACACACACACAATCAGTCAGAAATCAATGCGAGATCGATAGAGGACAATACTGGAAGAGATTTTCAATTTACAATACTGAAATCATACAAGGCATAAAGTTAATTTTGACAAAAGAAATGGCCAATACTCAACACTTTTTACTGTACCATAGTCGGGATTTTATTATTCTATGATATAAAGATTAAGATTAAGTGAGAATGCCATCAATGCCATCAAGTGTCATTTATTCGCCTCCTCTGAGGAGATTATCAATCGATATATTCGATTTTGTGGTGCTGATTTTGCAAATATTTCCCTGAGGAACATCTTGAAAGATACACTCTCTCTTCACATTCTTATCAGAGAAGCTGTTTTTCAGCGGGAGGTTGTGTGTGTTAGGCATTTACAGTAGTGGTAGTGAATACGTCAGGGTGAAAGGTATCCTGCAACACTGAAAGTCATTCACATGCCTATTTGTCAATTTCTCTTGAAAAGAAAACAAATTGGTACAGTATAACTCCATTATGGATAAGATTTTCTGTTTTGATAAACTGTCACTCACAGTGTGTGTGTGTAGTGTTATACAGTTAGTAATATTAACTGATGCAACCACACGCCTCAAGCACAATTTATTATTGCCACTCATAATCATCATATCAAGTCACTCACTCACTCACTGACTCACAACTTTCGTCTTCCTTCATTTATATACATGAGTGGAATTGATGATTAGACATTTGAATACAAATCAGTAATATGGGATAATGTACATTCAGAAATAATAATGATAATAATATGAGTGTTATGGATCAATTACAATCAGATGGGAAATAAGACGAGTGTTTCTTTTACAGTCATAATAAGTGAGTAACTTGTTAGAATGTTGTGATGATGTACGTGAATTGAATTGAAATAGAATACAATTTAAGATTATTTATTATCCTCCTCTGATTTCACTGACTGACTGACTGAAGGACTGGTGGTAATAATATCTTTCATGCATATTTCTGGTATTTGCATTGAGTCATTTCTGTTGCATGTTTCTGGGTGCAAACTCAATGAACTCGCAGTCATTGAAGGGTATTTTGTGAATTTTATTATTTTGTCTATTTGGGTCAACCGGCAGCGTCTTCTAACCTACCTACAGAGCTTGTCCTATCTGAGTGTGTTTGTATGTTTAAATGCTACCACCAGCATTATTCCTGCTTTGTTATTAAGAATCCTACGTAGGGAGTGTCTCAGATGTCCCCTCTCTGCTTATATTGTATTACAGTGGATGACTTATATTCTCTCTTATTTATGTTATCACTGCTAGTTTCACAATTATTTTTTGATTTTGCTTTTGGGCTTTAGCAATCTCCCTAATGAATTTTATAGGACAGCTAGCTGGCTGGCTTATGACACAGCTCATTTTCATAGTACCTGGAAAAACTATATCGACAGAACCGGAAAACATATACATGAGCGTATATATGCATATGATTTAGTCAGTAATTTCGAAGAAATGAACGATGTCATAAAATGAGCTGCTAAATATGTAGAATATTTAGAAGTAATTTCCAGATGCGGCACTGTCTGTCTGTTTTCGACATAGAACTTTGCACCGATGTGCACCAGTTCAAGTCACCACACTCCCTCCACTCCATGTAGCACACAAAGCAAAAGGAGAAAGTTGAATAAATGCATAATAGAGATAGTAAACGGAGGTGTGAGACAAAGGAATAGTAATAAGGAAGAATAATATAGTTTAATCGGAAATCATAAGTCACAAGCAGTGGATGCATCTGCACCAGCCAGCCAGTGGGAACGATTTTGAGCCGGCCGTACCACCAATTGTTTCCAGCCTTCATTGGTTTTACCGTCCCGAGGACCCCAACCAGTCAGGGAGCCAGTCTACACCTTCCTATATGGTTATCTGGCTTAAACTAACTGTTGCGGATTTCATTGACTGGTGAAGCCATGTTTTGGTTTGACCGCTGCTAGCTAGCTCTTTTCCAGCCTGACCTATCCTATGTCAGCTAACACTGTTTATTGTCAAGGAAGGCGATGACTAGTCATACCTACGTAACACATGTCCTAACCATCTCAGTCGATGTAATTTCACAGTCTTGTTGATTGATTTCCCCTCCTCCTTACCTAGAACTCAACCGACGCCTAACCTTAATATTGCTCGCCTTATTTTACCACTTCACACGGGAGATGGAAAGCAAGCCCCTATGATCGAAGATAGCTAATCAGCTTTTTCATGTCTTCCAATCTCAATGGCCAGTTCTCGCTCACAGCCAGACATAAAGGAGGATGGAGCGGACTGATGAGCAGTGCAACCGCCCTTTGGTCGATAGCCAACTGGATATCACGTCTAGTAAGCCAGAGCAGCGTAAACTGGCGAGCGTTTGCGAAACTAGACCTCTGTATCCGTACTCAGCTGAGATTTCGTCACAGATCAACCCGTTGACACTGGATGATGGTAGTTCCCAAATAAGTGAAGCAGTCAACGTGCTCTACCACTTCGCTCCCTATTTCTAAACTAGGAGTCAGTGTAGTCCTCCAGTCAGTCCTGTAACATCATCTTACATTTGACAGCAGGAGCGAATCGCATGCCAAACATTCGTGGATTGCAGCTCAGATGTTCAGAAGACCATGTCTGCATTTTGTCAGCGTCCTCACCTAGAAGGACTATATCGTCTGCATATTCTAAGTCAACGAGATTATTCCCTGATGGTAGCAAGTCAATTCCTGAGTCTCTGAAGTGAGTTAGGGTTAAATCCATTAGTACGATATCTATGATGAAATTGAATAAAAATGGGGATCATGGGCATCCCTGACGGACACGATTAGTTGTCACCACTTCAGGTGACAACTCGCCATAAGCTCTCACCTGGCTGTCTGCATGAGTTCGAGTAGAGTGAGTGCCTTGATCAGTGCAATGTATTTTCTCCGGGCACTCCTTAGTGCTGAAGCAGTTTCAGTACTACTACACGTTAAGAACACTAACACTAACGCCAACTCGGCTCTTCTGCCGATCAGTTCGAAGACTTGCCTGAGAGACTTTCATCAACAACTTCTCGTTCGCTTCTCATTCTGAAGATTATCAAATGACAGGCCAGGAAGGATTAGCAATATGGAGAGAGAGAGAGCTCTGGAAAACGAATCAACCAACGAACAACAACAACCCACAGTCCTATAAATAAATACACAGTGTGAAATCATGTGCCATGCACTAGAGTAGAACCTGAATAGGAAACGGTGAGTTGACACTAGTGTGTGAGTGAGATAAGAGATTATGTATGGGCAATGGTGGAGCCTGGTAAGGAGAACTGCAAAATAACACACGAAGAAGTGGAAAGGTGCCCTATGTTGAAGCCCTATGTTCCAGTGGGAACACACTCACAAGAAACTAATTGTAATATTATTATGATAAGTTTTCACACAAATACAATAAAGGTACACAAACATGAACCTGCCTAACACAAGAACAAAGGCGCATCCTCACACAGCATTAGAAAGAGACGAATGTGCTTGTGTGAGTGTGTGTGTGACACCGACTAGAACAAACAGACTTCGTTTTTCATACAGCCAACTTTCATTGGACTTCCAGAAACTTGTGGATGGTGATTTGACTAGGTAACAAGAACGACGGGAGTTTCCGCTTACAAAGTGAGGCATTTCATCTAGAGTGTAAGTTCAGCATCAAAGCAAGGGGAATCCAGCTATTTATTGATAGTATTTCTGCATATTTACAATACAGAGTTGCCTGTTAATCGAACCATTCATGATTTGTAATTAATGGTGTTTGTTCTCCGAGGAACTGGTTGGTTTAGTTGCGGAGCTTTCGTCGTCCTCCCTGCTTGCTGGACAACAAACATCTTCAGTGCAGCTTCTAGCATAAAGTGACCTGATTTTAATTTCTTCATGAGCGGTAACCATCTTTACATATGTATTGATCATTTTCTATTGAATTGGATTTTAAACTTTCTCGTCACAAGATCTACTTTTTATTAGTTGGTAGATTTGATCTATATCAACGTGTTTGTTAATCGCTGGCTGATTCGTTTGAGTACCGACCAGGCTTCTAGGAATTTCCTGACTACACTTTTGTTGATGGTGTTTCTTCTGTCTAGAATTTCGACATTATCCCAGTTATCAAACTGATGTCCATAATTGTGTATATATGCATTGATATGAAACAGGAATATATATACATCATGTCTTTTCATCACGGCTGATTTGTGTTCCTGGATGATTCTGATTCGACGCCCTGGGGACGCCCACTTCCATTACTGATGTAATGTCCGTCACAGTTCATACTTGCAATTTATTCTGTAAATGGTATTAATTTCATCTCCTTTCTCTGTTGGATGTGTCTTTCGGTTTGCACAATATCGAATGAAGTGATTGGACTGACTGGCTGGCTGGCTGGTTTGGGTGCTATATCTAACTATATCAAACGCTTTCAATATTCTTGCTGTTAGTTATTTCAGAAATAGTTTCGCTGATATACATGGTAGGATGAATTTTCTTGTGTTCTTTGATAATGATGGTTCCTTGTTGGTGTTATGATTCGACTTTAAACACTTTTTGATGAAATTTTGTGCGGATAACCATTCTTTTTGAATACCGTTTGTAGGTATTTTTCTTCCATTCTTTTCAACGCTGGCGTAGTGCTACAGTCTGTGTTGAACTCTCTTGTGAACAATGTCTGCACACAGTTTCTTTTCTGAGTGAGTAATTGGGTTGTTATTGCTAGTATAGTTGATTTTCCATATACTTGTGTTTCTAAATTTCCTGTGTTGGTTCTCCTGATTAAGACATCTAGAAATGGGATTTTGTTGTGGTCTAATTCTTCTTCTCTCTCATGGTGAATTTGATGTCTTTAAATATGTTGTTTATTAATTTATGGGCATATATACTAAATCACATTTCTCTTAATTATTACAAGCGTATCATCAACATAACGTACCTGTCCAGATTTTCGGTTTAACTATAGGTAGGTAGAGCTATTAATTCTAATGTTTGCATGACAGGCTTCAGCTATTAATCCTGATATGGTCGATCATCCCATTGGTGTCCCCTTCGAATCAGAATCATCCAGGAACACAAATCAGCTGTGATGAAAAGACATGATATATATATTCCTGTTTCATATCAATGCATATATATAAATAATTATGGACATCAGTTTGATAACTGGGATAATGTCGAAATTTTAGACAGGGCAAAAACCACCACGAAAAGTGTAGTCAGGGAATTCCTAGAAGCCTGATCGATACTCAAACGAATCAGCCAGCGATTAACAAACACGTTAATATAGATCAAATCTACCAACTGATAAAAAGTAGATCATGTGACGAGAAAGTTCAAAATCCAAGTCAATAGTAAAATGATCAATACATATGTAAAGATGGTTTACCGGGAGACGCAATTCTATCACCACTCATGCAGAAATTTAAATCATTTCACTTTATGCTAAAAATTGCACTGAAGATGGATGTTGTCCAGCAAGCAGGGGGGGGGGACGACGAAAGCTCCGCAACTAAACCAACCAGCTGGCTCCTCAGAGAACACACTATTAATTAATTGCAAATCATCCAACTACCTGAGCTACAAATCTTCTCTATTATTATTTCAGAATCGTTCATGACATGAAATAAAGGTGAGAGATTAAAAAACGACGTTATGTGATAAGTTAAATAGGTCAAAATTTTTGGTATATAAATAAATATGGCGGTATAACTTACCATCTGCACACGATGGGAAATTTTCTGTATAAACTGGTTTCCCGGCAAGCATCGCTTGATTGAAACCTGGACAGTTCTCTGATTCCACAGCCTGAAATGTCGACATAAACATTGTGGAGTAAGAGTAAATAAAATATTTTGGGGAAACATTAAAGGTTGGGGGGGGGGAAACTAAATCAATTTAAAGTATTTAATGGCACATTATTAGTCACAGCCGCCGGAGTGGATCTATATTCCAATAGGGGTATATCACACATCACCAGGAGCATACTTCTTCAACTTCTGAAGATAGATTTTAGAATATTTTCGACAACTATTGGGCTCCCCATTGGGTCCCTCTTTTGGCTGATTTCTTTCTAAGTAAGCTAGAAAATCGACCTCCGAACAACAACAACAACCTTATCAGTAAGTTCTCATTTTATTCCCGGTATATACGGATGACACGCCTTCATTCTTTGTGACAATAATGATTCGGATAGAGGTGGACAATAATTACTGAATTCAATGAAGTACATTCTCCACTATGAAATTCACATGTGAAGAGGAATCCCAAAAAACAGAATGAATTGCCTTCCTGGACTCTCCGTCCTCCTCCTTACAAGAAAACCAGATGGTAGCATAAACAAAAGAAATTTGCATAGAAAAAGTACTTGGACAAAAGGACAATTTACACACACATTTTCACAGCTTCGTTCCTCTCTCAAGTACAAAAGAAATTTAGTGAAGACCTTCACTCGGCCACACAGTTAGTTAGAGCTATATGCTCAGAAGAAGTAATTAAAGATGAATGTAGCATTGAGTGTATATGATACTTTGATTGATCGAAAATAGCTCTCCCGACAAATTTATCAAGAAACACATGACAAAGAAAGCGGCGGAAAAGGATTGACTACTCACTTTCCATCCGTAAACAAGAAGCCTCTTTATATACGACTGCAATTCAAGGGTGATCGATATACCAAGTGAGATAATTACGAAAAATTAAGAAAATCAGTTCAAAGAACTTTTAATGCTGGGGATGAACTACACGTCTTTTTCTTTACACGACCGATTGTGCTACCTCGACTGAAAGATGAAGTACCTAGACTAGACTAGCTGGCCACTTCAAATTGTATCTACCAATTCAACTACAACTGTGATTGTGGTGGAGCGGGTTGGCCGTTATTGCTCTAGGAACTTGATTTTTCGTGCTCGCTCGCTCAAGAACATCTCCCAGTATGGCTCAGTAAAGGTGTAGTGAGAACCAATAACAAACAGTTCGATATTGGACCATCTGGTGCAAACAGGCCGGGTGGCCACAAATCCAACCAGCCAGCCTGCGTGGAAGAATCTTTCTCTATCATCATCTACCGGGTGCCACATAAATTTCCAAAATCATCATCGAAGCACCGGATGCTCTTAGCACCACATGCTATTGCATTTCACCTCAAACAAGCGTGTGGTCGCATCAGTTAATATTACTTACTGTATAACACTACACACACACACACACTGTGAGTGACAGTCAGTTTATCAAAACAGAAAATCTTATCCATAATGGCGTAACATCAGTCCCATCAGAAAACGAAAATCTCTACACACACACACACACACTATGTAACGCATGTTCTGTCTCTTCTTTGTTTGACATCATCAACACTCACAATTATGCTGCACTTCGGTCGAATAGCTTTTGCTGCAACAGAGATTCCAGCAATCAGGCCACCGCCACCAACTGGCACTATGATAGCATCAACCTCAGGGACTTGTTCCAGGATTTCGATGGCAACACTTCCTTGACCCGCCAAAATATGTGGATGGTCGTAGCTGAAATGGAAAGAAAGAAAAAAACAGACAAGCGAACATCGAAGGCATCAATTGAAGTATGTGGGTTGGTGTGTGGGTGTGTGGGTGGGTGTGTGTGTTATGATTAAGCGGAACCTGGATTGCCAAACCCGCATGAAATCAACAGAAGAAGAAGAAGACAAAGACGAACTGGAACAGACAAGTAAACAAACACTGTCAGGATTTACAAGATGACAGACAAGAAGCGCCTATGTCGGTGTCGTTTGTTGATGAAGACAGCTTTGAACCCCGGTCACAAACAGTCTGCAATCTGCAATAAATCTTGGTATCTTGGTAAGGAATGCGTTCAGTCAAACTACACCTGACTATGTACCTCAAAGTAACAATCACTGACCTCATATTGTTTACGTCTATTATCATTATTGTTTCCTTTAATTCCTAGAGGAACATAGGGCTTCAACCAAACGTCTCCATTCCGTTCGGTTCTCTGCTAACATTTTCACCTGGCTCCAAGTATGCCCACATGCTTTCATCTCCTCTTCACATCACCTCCTCCAAGTCACCCACCCTCACACTGTTGACCAACTCACCGCTTCCCTTTCGATTCCACTCGAGCGATTGCTTGTCTAGTAATGTCACTCACTTGATGGTTTGTTTTTTCAGAGTACGGCCACAATCCAATCCACCTCCATTTCTTCCTGCTTATTTGTTGCACAGTCTGTTCCTGCTGTGTTGGTTGGTTTGCTCATTGCCAGATATCCCACACTGTTGCTGATCTTTTCTGGCCGACCGGCCATCTAATCTTGAGTGTTATTGAGTGAAGGCAAGTAGCTATTGATGAAGGTATGTATTTTGTTTGAGGTGCTCTTTATGACGCGCCAAGTCTATGATCCGTATAGTAGCACTGACTGACTTCACATTGGAGTTGAAAATCCGGATCTCATTTTCATTTTCATGCTGAGCAGTGATGTCTGTTGATCTCCACACAGACTAGAGAGAAGTGAAAACTTTTCTTGCTTTCCCGATCCTCGCTTCTTTGATATACTCGTCATTTCCGTCGGTCCGTAGTTGAGAAGACACTTCCCAGGTAAGTAAAGGAGGTTGATTCTTTCAGGATCCTCTCATTTATGCTGCCTGATTGTTTTTGTTGCCCAGGAATCTTCATCACCTACCCCTGTCTTCTCTATGTTCACCTGATGTCCCTCTTATCTTCTCTGTATGCTTCTTCTGCAAATTTGTTGCTTTTCACTTGCATATCTTCCAGTTTGTGGGAAATCAGACATATATATCACATCGGTGAAGTCCAGATCCTCCAAGTTTTTTTGTGTGAGTCCATTTTATGCTTTTTTCCTCCCTGCCCGGTGCTGTCTGTCACATTATCCAGCCTACTGCAATCAGGAAAGTCATTGGCGATAGAAGGCAGCCAGCCAGCCTTGTTTTACTCCAGTTATCAATTCTTCGAAGGATTCCGTAAGTTTTCCGTTGTGGACTACTTGGCATGCAGCGTTGTCGTACAACTGACTGTTGGATGAGATGTATAGTTGTCGGCGGGACCCTTTGGTAATAGCGACGTAGTTGCCAAATCACCTATCGATCGACACTATCGAAGTCCTTTTCAAAGTCGATGAAGCTGAGATAGAGAGGTGACTGCCATTCCAAGCTCTGTTCGATGATGATCCGTTATGTGGCGATCCGATCAATACATGACTTGTTTCTCCTGAATCCAGCCTGTTCCGGTCGAAGTTTTTCATCCAGGTCGGCGTGTTTGATTCTCTCCAGGATGATGCGGCTTAGTATTTTGCTTGGGATGGACAGGAGCATAATTCCGCGCCAGTTCTTGCATTGACTTAAGTCTCCTCTCTTTGGTAGTTTGAATAAGTATCCTTTCTTCCAACCAGCAGGTACCTTGCCCTCTTTCAACGCCATCTCCAGTAGTGGCATAATCAAGTCCGCTGTTGTCTCTGGGTCCGTTTTCAATGCTTCTGCTTGGATTCCATCTGGTCCTGCTGATTTTCCAGCTCCAGCTTTTAGCATTTTGATTGCCTTCAGGACTTGTGATTTCATCGGGGGATTGGTGTTCACTGGTAGCTGGTATTGTTGGGCGCGTTGCAGTTGGTGGTCGATTTAGGAGTCTTTTGAAGTGTTCAGCCCAGGGTTTCCTTTGCTCCACTTCTTTGGTGACTGACTTTCCAAACCATCTACAAGTTGAGGGCAAATGGTGTAAATGGTGTCACTTTTCGGCTTTCGTGTACTGCGAAGGTGCTGGCAATTCATCAATACAACCCCGAACTCTCTCTGTATACAGGCAAAACGTTTGCCAGTCTCTTATTCGACTTTGGTCTTAACCTCTTCACTAGTCGTTCCCTGTAAAAAGAGGAATTTTGATTTTTTATTTTCCTTATTTTATTTCCATTTTTAATTTTAGTTTGCTTTCACTGTAATAATTAACTCAATGTTGTCACGCTCATATGCTCCCTGTTGTACATTTTCACACCCTCTCGACACACTCGTTCACACTTGGACACTCAACTACTACCTTTATTCTCTCTCTCACTCGATAGCAATTTTAACCTTCCTTATCAAATTTCTATGTTTGGTCCGTTGAGTACCACGTAATAATATAATATAATAATAATATATAATAATAATAATTTGATTTACTCCAGAAACAGTACTAGTGATACAGTGTCGAATTTTCAGCACATATCTACAATATTTGCATCTAATTTTATCCAACGTTTAAAAGGAGTATTTCAAAAAAAGCAAATAAATATAAAGACAGCAACAGCAATGATGGCAGCCTGTTTGACGCCTGGGCTACCTTTCCGTACATTTACATATTTGCGTCTAATACATCATGTTTTAATTTTTCAGTTTTAACAAAATATGATCACAAATCGTATCAAATACAGTAATGAATTCATTGAATGTTTTAAACCATATAACTTTCATGCATCTTATAAAACTAAGAGAAAACATCATGGTGGTTGGCAACGTGATCTCAAACGGACACCTTTATATCACACAACTATTCCTGTTATTGTCAGTTCAAACTGCCGTTCACTTCTCAACAAAATTATGCATCTCCAGTCTCTCTTATCATTTGATACTTTTCACAACACGGCGATAGTCGCATTACGAGAAACATGGCTCCATGATCTTTATGACGACAACCTGGTTTCTATAAATGGTTTCACATTGTTTAGACAAGATCAAATATGCTCCAGAAAGAAAAGAGGTGGTGGTGTAGCAACCTGCATTCATTCTCAGTGGTTAACTTCAAATAATGTGTGTTTTTCTTTCTCTAGTGACTTTATTGATTGAATAACAGTCAAATGTCGTCCGAAACACTTATCCAAGTTTAAATAAGTCTTCATCTCAAACATTTATGTTACTCCTGGTTGTTCCGCCTCGGATCTATCTGATTTTGCCGATGAATTCACAGCATTCGCTATAACACATATTGAAAACTCTATATCAGTTGTCACAGAAGATTTCAATACCTGCGATTGTTCTTTCCTTGAATCATTAGATCATGTCAATGTTGTCAAATTTCCAACTCTAGTTGATATATTAGGCCGCATCATCCTGAAAAAGGACTGGATAGAAAAGATGCATGTAACCAGGAACACATTGTCACAGGAAACTGGCTAACAAGTATGCCAGGAGAGTCAGCGGAGGTCAGTTTGATGTCTCTCTGTCTGGATTCAACATAGAACTTGCCACCGAAGTGCAGCAGCTCGACTTGCCACTTTCCAAATAGCACACAAAGGTAGACAGAAAGATGGATGAGTGAAGAGAATCAATGGAGTTTTGACAAGTATAAGAGTGAAACAGAATGAGTAATGGTAGAAAGGAATATGAAAGATTACAGAGACTGAATACATCTGCGTAAGCCATTGACAACGATTTTGAGCCATGTCACCTATTGTCTGTCTCCAGCCATTGATTCTTAGAGCCCCGAGGGTGGGCCCCAACCTGGAAGTCTGCATCTCCCTACCTGACTTGGGTTAACTGTCAAGGATTTCATGGATTGATGAGGCCATGTTTTTGTTTGGCCACCACTTACTCTTTTTGAGCTGCACCCATGTCAGCTAGTAATGCCCGTCAAGAGAGGAGGCGATGGTTAGACATGCGCAGCACGTGACCTAACCATCTCAATCTATGTAACTTTATAGCCTCTTCAAGTAATTTTCCCTCTCTGCCCAACACTCTACGCCTGACGTCAACATTACTTACCTTATTATGCAACCTTACGTGAGAAAGAGATCATAGACATCTATGATCAAAACAGTCAACCTTTTCATGACTTCAACTCGTATTGGCCATGTTTAGGAGAGCCATAGAGAAAGACGGAGCGAACTGCTGAGAAGTACACACGTCCCTTGGTTGATATGATAGCTGGATGTCACGCCTACGCCAGAGATGGTGTAACTGAGTGAAAGTAGCCCGAGCTTTTTGGATCCGTGCTGAGATTTCGTCACCAATCAATCCGTTAGTGCTGATACAACTTCCCAAATAGGTGAAGTGGTCAACATGTTCCATCACTTCACTCCCTATCACTAAGCCAGGGGTAGACGTAGTCCAGTCATTACTGTAGCAGCATCTTACATTTTACAGGGGCGAATCGCATGCCAAACATACGAAGATTGCTGCTGCTCAAGGTGTTCAGAAGACTCTGCTGAATTTTGTCAGCATCCTCCCCTAACAGGACTATGTCATCTGCATATTCTAAGTCCATAAGACTATTCCCTGGTAACAAGTCGATTCCCGTAAGTCGTTAAGTTCAGTTAAGGATACTTCCATTAGCATATCCATGATGAAGTTAAACAGAAATGGGGAAAGTGGACATCCTTGACGGACAACACTGGTTGTTATCAATTCAGATGACAATTCCCCATAAGCCCTTACACAGCTACGTGAGTTTGAGTAGAGTGCCTTGATAAGGTGCAATGTACTTTCTTGGTACTCGCTTCACAGGCAAACATTGCCATAGTACCTTTCGATCCACGGAGTCGAAGGTCGCCTTCAAGTCAAGAAACATGGCAATTGTTGGACGCCTAAAAGTGTGTCTATGTTCTAGGATCTTTCGGAGAGTGAAGATATGATCTATGCACCCTCTACAGTTTGATGTGTAAATCAACCAGAGGTGTTAAAAAAGGAAATCATGTGGGCCAGGTCGTTGACAAGGCAGGTGAATGAGATTTCCAAGGTCGACTGACTGACTGACATTCAGGAAGGAGATCATGTGGAAATAAAAGAGGAAAAAAATATTGTTGACAGTCATAGAGTGTCTGTCATAGTACAGTCACCGTGTGTATGTGTGAACCACTCCACGAGGATCGTCACCTGATCAGTCAGCCGGCAGCAGTGTAGCACGTTATATAACAGCCCAACTTATGAATGACTTCAGAAATCAATTTCTCTCTCTCTGTTGTTGTTCTTCTTCTGCTTGGTAACATGGCATGTGTTCTCACTCAATGTGCTGTCAATGACTCACTTACTTACCCATTTATCAGAGGTAAATTGTTCAACTTGGCCATCTTCATTGCATAACGTTTACTCTTGATATTTTAAATATGGAGAAAGAAAAGAGAAAGGGAGAAAGAAGATGATAATTGAAGCATGTGATGAACAGTATTCAACAGCAGCATTTTGTAAAATATATATAGAGAGAGAGATTATCAAGAAAACACGAGATGTATATTCAGCGAAGAGACTCACTCTTTTCGACGAGGAAGTCATCAACGACAAGACAGAGCTGTACATTCGTGTATTTATAACAATAAATGGATGGGAAAGTTCCGTAATAATAATAATTTCCGGTTTAAGGTCAAATTAATACAATTACAATTAGGAATAATTAAAATACCACAATAAACAGGGGAAAGGGTGGTTGTGGTGGATAAAACTCAAACAAAGTAGCATCATAGACAAGAATCTCAAATCAAAGAAGACTTCCGAACAAGTCCAATCCGTTCCGAAGAAAATACTGCTTAATCTAGAATTCAAAGGTGATATTGAAGCAGAAATCCTTCTTAAATGCCTCTCCAAATCCCTGATGAAAATATACTTCGTTGCAAGCCCTACGACTGACATTTTCCTGCAAGAAACTGTTCATCAGTCAGAACGCGAAAGACAAGCTGTCGTATTTGGCCACTTCAACGAGAATATACCAGTCTAATTGCTCTCTGGTGGAGCTGTTGAGTACATCAGCCGTACCACGCGCCAACATGAAAAACGCGCTTATGAACACTATCCAGCTGGGCTAGTAAAAGGAGAACGAAAACGTGTGTATATAGTTCAGTGACAGAACATCTGGTCAATGCAGGACATTCACCACTATTCGAAAAATCCTTCAAAATAATATACAAGATTCGATCAAACCTATCAAAGGGAGTGAAATTAAGACATCTGGGCATAGCCGAGGCACTGGCTATGCAAAAGATCAAACCCACGCTATGTATCCAAAAGAAATACGTTCAATCCTTGTCCCTGTCCCTGCCATGACCATCATAAACAGGTAATTCTTTTAATAATGACCATCCCATTGACTTTCTTATCTAAACTTCCTGTTTATTCATGTTATTTTAAGTTTTTCTTAATCCCTCCACTATTTACACTACCATATTTTCATATCCAAACATCCTGTCTATCTATTTTTTTATTTCTACATTTCTGACCCCCTAATTGCCCAATCGATGTCAATCCTCTCAGTAATTATGGTTCTACTTTGTCAGAGGTTTACCCGTCCCCCTGTTTATTATGTCATTTTAATTCCTAATTGTAATTGTATTAATTTAACCCTTAACCAGAAATTATTATTCTGGAACTTTCCAATCCGTTTGTTGTAAACACACGAATGTACAGCTGCCTTGTCGTTGATGACTTCGTCGAAAAAAATTTCCTTCGCTGCAACTGTCTTCTTTCAAACGAATTTATTTTCAAGCTAAACAATCGTATATATATTTTGTTTTATTTTATAAGAAATTATATCCAGTGAGGGAGGGAATTCGGTCAAAGGTGTGAATACATGAAATAACAACAATAATAGTAGTAGTAGTAGTATGAAATGCAATTGAAATATTTGTGATTATAATCAAAGTTGTGAGTGTCAAGTGGCAAGAAACTAGACAAAGACTGAACACTGTTGTGGTTAAAAAGACGAATTTCCATGCAGCTAATATCATAATAATTGAGAATGTGAAGCCAATATATCCATCCATCCATCTAAGCCCTTTGAACATGGGAAAAGTGATGTCGCATCCCACTGTATTTACCGATTTGAATGTACATGTGGACACACATATACAAAAGGAGGACTCATCGATCTCTGCAAGTAAAGGCTGGCTGACTTCAGAGCATATTCCTAAATGGCTCCAAAAGAAATGGAATCTTCAGAACCCATTAATCGTGAGAACAGACGAAGACCTAAGTGGCTCCTCTATTGCGAAAGATATTACAGAGGAGACAGAACATAAAATTGACGTTAACAGAAATTTTAAACCTGTCTCTTAAAAGCTTTTGGGAGAGGGCGTATCCTAAAGTTTGTGGAAGCCCTAGCTGTCAGTAAGGTAGTTTAAATCACCTCTATGCGTTCAAAACAGCAATTCGTCATCACACTAACCTACCTTCCTTGATGGTAAACTTCGTTTTGATACCATCCAGGGCAGATGTACTATTACCTCTGTTGTTTCGTTTAGTGATTGATCTTCATTGTTATTTTGAGCTTCAATAAGTCCTCCTTTTAACTTGACCTAAGTCAAGTAGTCTATTTTCTCACCCACCTCTTAACTTACTCTTTATTAATTTCATATATATATGTACTCCTATGACAAGTCCGTGTGTGTGTGTGTGATGGATCAGATTGTTCGAAATGTGTGTGTTGTGCGCGCAAATATGCACATTACACACACACACACACGATTCAGACAGACAAATTACGTCTTCCTTCTTATTGCTGCTTTATCTAAGTGAATTCATAAAGGGAACACGAATTGTTTTAAAAATAATTAATGTCATATATAGAATAATAATACATAAGATGGATGTATAGATGTTGTTGGAATGGGGTGCATAATTATAGGATTAGTAGGTGAATGTAAAATGTTACATAACATGGTATGAAATTTGATAAGATAGAATTCAATATTGTAAAAGTAAAAAATATAAAAATTAATAATTTTTGGTTCAGAATGACAAGTAGGACAAGTGGAAACAATTCAGAGTGAGAATGGTAATAATAATAATAACGATAATAAAAGTAATAATCGTAGTAATAATGGAAAAGTACATACAATAAGTACAAAAGTACATTCAATCTTTTTCCAAAAGCATTATTCCTGACTCATGGAAAAATATCAAGGTTGTTCCAGTGCCCAAATCAACAAGTGGACCTACTGTCAAGTTTAGACCCATTGCTATTACCTCACCTTTTTTTAAAGTTATGGAAAGACTTATTTTACTTAATCTTGAACCCTCTTTAAAGCCTTTTAATGACCCCAACCAGTTTGCCTATAAACATAGTAGGTGTACCTTAGATGCCGCTGTAGTTCTTTATCATAATATAGTCTCTAGTTTAGATAGAGGAGCCAAATATGTTCGGTGTGCCTTCCTTGATTACACATCTGCATTTGACTCTGTACCTAGGTTTCTCTTGCTGAGTAGGCTTGCTGCGACACAGAGTGAGAGCTGGACAAATAAGTGGTTGCATTCCTATTTTTCTGATAGGAAGCAGTACACCGTCTACAATGGAAAGTCTTCCACTACCTCACTTACTTTAGCTGGTGTTCCTCAAGGTGCTGTTCTTTCTCCTTTTCTGTTTTCTTTTTTTTATATGCTGATGTAGCAAATTTTGTCAAGTATGCTGATGACCTCTCTGTCTCCATGCCTGTCAACTCTCAGTCAGACTGTTCCAAATTAAATAACTTTCTCTCGGAAATTAGTCAGTGGTCCTCTTCAAACGGTCTTAAGCTGAATCCGTCTAAATGTCAGGTAGTCAATTTCACTTTCAGATGAAAACGTGACCTACAAAAACTAGCTAGCTCACATGGTCCCACTATCATTGACGACATAGAGGTTGAAACTACATCTAATTTCAAGTACCTTGGACTTAGCATTTCCTCCGATCTTTCCTGGTCCTCTCACATCTTGCTAGTTACTAGAAAGATGTTTCGCTTAACGTTCTACGTTAGGAAGTTTAGGCAGTCTGGTATAAAGCAGTCTTTGCTTTCTCAGTTTGTCAATTCTTGTATTTTACCCATCCCTCTTTACTGCTTCCCATTAATCTTTCCTGGACTACTTAAGAGAGATTTTGCTTCGCTGCATAGGGCACTAAAAGCTGTTAGTAGGGGAAGTGGGATTTCGTTAAACCAACTGGTTAACATAATTGTGGATAGACATATAATGTCATCTAAGAAACTAGCGAATTCTATATTGTCAGACCCCGAACACCCTCTCCATACGCAGCTCTCTCCTTGCATTTCATCTGGTAGAACTAGAAGCAACTATAAGAGGCTTTATGCCAGGACTACCAAGTATAAAAACTCCACAATACCTTATCTGGCACAGATGTTATGTGATGAGAAAACTGTTAGGCATGACACGATCAACCTACTGCGGCACTCTAACAAATAGTTCCCATTAGCTTTTGTTCTCCTTTCTTTGTTACTATTATATTGTTGCTCACATATTCTATTACACACTAATTTTATATTTCATATCCTGTGCTGTATTGTTTAAATATGTGAATGCAATGCTGTTCTTTTTATTTCTTTTATTTCTCTTTTTTCTTTTTGTTGTTGCTTTATATTTTTAAATCCTTATAAAATTTATGAGGTAATTAGATGCAATATTGTAATCAACGCTGAAAATTCCATACCTGTACCACAAATACTGTTTGGAATAAAGCCATTATTATTATTATTAAATAAACAAATAAATAAATGTCTATCCCTCTACGGCCATGGCAGAAGTAGGCATTGTACATCCTCCTTTTGTACACAAAGACCTGTCTGGCTGGCTTAAATTCATGAATTGCTAAGGCCTCAGCTGCATTTATAAGTCTATAACGAAGAAAACGCGGCCAGCATGTTAGCATGGATTCTATATATGATCTTAAAATCATGGTCAGGGTTGATGTGGAGTGACACAGAAGTCGATCAGGTGTTCCAGAATACAGCACTTCGCACACACACTTCCTTTCTCCCTTGTTGTAAAACCATGCTGTTGGAATATGTTCTCGTATCCGTGCGGTGGAAGAAGCGGCGTCCTCTGACTACAGCCAATGTACCTTGCTCCACAAGAGCAGATGTTGTGTGGTGTTTAGAGGTGCTTTCGATTGCCCTTTTTCCACTCTCACCAATTATCTTGTTTTCGTTCTTTCAATCGAGAATTAACAGTGTGAAAGGAACAGCCCACACACACACACTCAGATGTATTTTGAGAGCCAGAAATCGATACCTAGCGCTTATCCATCAAATAATGTCCATAGATATTGGAAGTTCTGAAGGAATATTTGTGCGGCAGCCTACATCCCCTCCCCCCCGACTTTTGTATAGCAATCTCAAGAGAATCCTCGTCGAGAATTGTTATCCAAAACGATTTATTGTAAAATCCATGAATCCTAGACTGCAGAAGCCGCACACGCTTAGCCTCCCTAAAATAACTACTCTACATGAACCTTCAATTCAATGGAGATATATCTGCGGAAATACTGAAAAATCGACTGTCGCGATCACTTAAGAAAATCTTCTTCTTCGCAGCTGAACTACGACCAACCTTCTCCACAAAACCTATGATTTATGTGAACGTGTGAAGGATAAGCTACCACTGCCGGCTGGCCTCATCAATGTGTTTATTTACGAATTCACCTGCTCGTGTAGAGACACGTATGTCGGCTGTACCCAGCGTTCGCTTTCCAAACGTATCACCGAACACTTACCAACATGATTTTACAAAGGAGAAAAACGATGCCCCCATCCAGCTCTATCTTATAACATCTGATAGATTCTGGACAGCAAGCTACACCCCAAACAAACTTCAAAGTCGTCTACAGAATACGAATTAGTCTCCCTAGAGGTGTACGAATCATCAGACTTCTTCAAACTGCAGAAGCAATGGCGATTCACTTGCTAAGTCCTGAACTCTGCATACAGAAGAAGTTCGTTCAATCACTACATTTGCGCAATGGACGTAATCTATCTTATCACCTGACAGGTAAATTCTACCTAATCCTTTTCTCTTCTGTCTCTTCATTAGTATTATTTTGTCTTCTCAATTGTAATGTTTTACATTTTCTACCTTCTTGTTCTCTATCCCCACCCGATTTAATTTCTGCACCTCATTACCACTATGACTGACTTGACTAACGCTTAATGTTTAGTGATTGATGTTACGACATCCAATTTATTGGCTGAATTTTAGTTCTAATTTAAATGGCATTATTCTCTAACACTCACTTCTACTTAGTCTCTCTCTACCTGTAATTACCTCTGTTGCTACCCTGACTTAAGTTGAAACATTTTAATCAATCATATTACGTCGTCATCTAACTTACTAACCAACTAACTCAATCTTACTTTAGTTGCTGTCTAATTAACCAACCTTGTTTCTATATTAGATCATTCTTGTATTACCTACCTGATTACCTGATTAATTATCTAAACTTGACAAACCTCATGTACACACACACACACAAATAGCATAAATCTGACAATACTTGGTATGAATCTCACGTTAACTACACCACACCACACTACACGTGGTGATCAATGACTTCAGTCCCGCGAGAGATCGAATCTCACACACATGATCACATGATCAACCTGTATAGTATTTCAATTTCAACAAACAGTGTGGCAAATATTAAGGTTAAGCAAATATATTTTAGCAGTTTAGAAGTTAGGCAAGCATTCAAGATTATTATAATCTTGAATAAAAGTGCAAATTTCATACAATGAGATTCCCTTTTTTGTATAAATTTGAACAAAGAAAGAAAGAAAGAAGAAGAAACATTGTCGCGCGCAGAATAATCTGGATCCATTTTCGATTTCATCGGTTCTCCTCATCTGCAGCAGCTGCAGATTTCATGGAATACCAAAAATACACAAATCAGAGGCAAAGAAGAACAGTTAATTCCTTGAAGAAGATTGTAGAAGAGTCATGATCACGTTTTCAATTAATAAAATAAGGCAAATATAGGTTGTATTATGTTTTATTTTCACCGGTAAAACTATGGCATATCCCACTATGCATGATGAATATCTTCTTTATTTCCAAGTCATCATACACCGACTGTCGACCCAGATGAATTACGCTTAATTCCATGACATTAGTAAGATTGTAACAACAGAAGACAAGGGCCAGGCAACAGATCGTTTATTTAGGAAATCAACAGATATTTATAGAAGATTTTCATGTACATTATTATCGATTATTGTTAGCAGACAAACACAGTCTTCTGATTGGTGGTTGTTTTTCTTTGTGGCTGTTTCTTGAAGGTCAGATCATCTATCTGCTATCTGCTAACTGTATCCGCCTACGCAAACAAGGTGTGCTGTGATTGGTTGTTGGTTGAGTCAGTCAGTCTTTGTTCTTGTTTTCTCATGACCAATATTGGGTACATAAACATTGACGTGAATTACTGTCTACCAATTTTGGCTAGCGCAGACAGCTTTCACGACACTATTCCTAATTTGGGTCTATATATCTTTCCTATCGTTTGTATGTTTGTCTTAGACCCTGCGTAGGATTCTCAATAAAGCTGGAATTAGGCTGGTGGTGTCATTCAAACCTACAAACTCACCTAGTTAAGACAAGCTCTGTAGGTTAAGTTAAAAGACCCTGTTGGTTGACATAAATAAACAAAATAATCATCAACAATTAGTCTCTTTTATAAATTTGCATAGCGTTGTGATTATCTGAAAAACAATGTGATGTGATTTATCTGCGCTATACATTTCAAACAATCTGATCCGCCACACATTAACTTGTTAAGTTGATATATACATGAAAGTGTTAAATTAAACAAAGTGACAAAACAAAAAGATTTAAGAATGATTAACACAACGTTTGATAATCCAATCAAATAAGGATTACCAAATTAGGTTAAGAGTAATAGTAAACTGTTAACCTACCTTAGTAATCCTTATTTGATTGGATTACAAACGTTTTGTTAATCATTCTTAAATCCTTTTTTTGTCACTTTGTTTAATTTAACATTTTTCATATACATATCGACTTGACAAGTAAATGTGTGGCGGATCAAATTGTTTGAAATGTACAGCGCAAATACATCACATCACCTCGTTTTTCAGATAATCTCCTTCTTCGTATAACGCTATTCAAACAAAATAATGTAATTTACAAAATACCTTGCAATGACTGTGAGTTAGGTCAACTACATAGGTCAAACTAGTAGATCAAGGGTAATCAGATTGTCGGGACATATGAATTCAGCTAAGGTAAGAATGGTTGACCCAACACGAGAAGATGAGTAATTTGCAAAAAAGCTCAGCACTACATTGCACTGCATGCATGCATTAACACACAACCACAAAATAGAATGGTGGATGGGAGAGTTAAAATTCTAACAAGTAATCTATGTAGGTGGAGAGAGAGGTTGATGACTGAATCCTGCCTGGTTCATCAAGTCAACACACAACACATGGAACAGAAATGATTCAATGCAAATACCCGAGACATGTATGGAAGATAGTATTACCACCAGTCAATCAGTCAGTCAGTCAGTCAGTCAAATCAGAGGAGGATAATAAGTAATCCTAACTTGTATTATGTTATAATTCAATTCACGTACATCACAACATTCGAACAAGTTACTTATTGTGATTGTAATTGATAAATAACAATCACATTATTATTATTATTATTTCTGAATGTACATTATCCCATATTACTGATTTGTATTCAAATATCTAATCATCAATTCCACTCATGTATATAAATGAAGGAAGAAGAAAGTTGTGTGAGTGAGTGAGTGACTTGATATGATGATTATGAGTGGCAATAATGAATTGTGCTCGAAGCGTGTGGTCGCATCAGTTAATATTACTTACTGTATAACACTACACACACTGTGAGTGACAGTTTATCAAAATAAAATCTCATCCATATTGGAGAAAATTATTTCCAACCTAGACATCGATGTGTGAAACGGTGAAATACAATACAATACCGCATTGTTCTACTGAATAAGCATGTCAGTAGGGTATAAAAGTAGTCAGGTTGACCACTCACCAACCAATGCAGTAACACTGTTGTAAAATGAGAAAATTATTAAAACTTTTTGTGCGGTGCTTCCTCGGAAACTCACTTCAAGCATATTCTTGCCTTTGAGGAGAACACGACCACCGAAACTTGCGCATCGTTCACGTTTCATGACACTGGCATTCTCAGGCATAATCACAGTCACCGGTATATTCAACAACTTTCCATGATAGGCCAATCCCAGGGCATGATTTCCAGCACTGCATGCAATGACACCACGTTTAGCCTCATCCTTGTATATACACACATAGAAATCAATACATATTTCACAGGCACATTAGAGTTTGTGAGTACACTTTTTAAAAGGAAACAAAAATAAATACTGTTAACTGAATGCTACTCACTGACTGATTTAATCTGCCTATAAGAAATCAGCCTTCAATACGCCTTGTGAATGAAGTAGAAAGTACGTACCCATGCCACCCTGCAACCAGGGTTCGAACCCAGGACCACGTTCTGGTTACAAGGCGAGCTGCTGCTGGAGAGTCAGTCCCAAACTAGGCTGACGAAACAGGTGGCTGGCTGGCTGTCTGGCAGTACTCCCTCACTGGTTGGTTGGTTTTCCTTCCAGTGTGGTTGGTTCTCTAACGCTGATGTCAGTCAGCTCATGATCAATAATCAAATCCTCCATCCCATCCCATCCCATGATCAAACAAAATCCCTACAAAACTTCAATACTTGAAAAAGATGAGACGGCAAGAAAAAATAACAACACTAAAGTCGAATAAAATGCCCCCCTCTCCGCGAATAATTAATTCACTTTGCTTTCCATTCTCTATTTGATCTCTCCATATGTTGGTTTTTGCCATTATTCAAATAATTAAGGGGAAAGTAAGTTGTGAGGCGATAAAATTTCGAGGAAAACTTGGTTATTTTGAAGAGATACTAAATGCTTTCGCGGATATCTTCAACACTGCATGTGGAGTGTGTTGGAGTAGGTTCGCTTAAATCTGCTCTTACTGATAACGATGATGGCTGACTGACTGACTGACAGATCTGTGTAAATATCAGTTAGGCTACACTCTTCTTCCCTTCTAAAGACATAAATTCTCTTCTCAGGTCAGAGGCAAACATGTATGAAATGTAATGTCAAACTTCTCCCGGCCGATGGTTAGGACATGTGTTACGTATGCCTAGTCATCGCCTTCCTCGACAATGGGCAATGTTAGCTGATATAGGGTCAGGCTGGAAAAGAGCTAGCCAGTGGGGGTCAGACCAAAACATGGCCTCATCAGTCAATGAAATCCACAACAGTTAGTCTAAGCCACGTAGGAAGGTGTAGACTTCCTGACTGGTTGGGGTCCTCGGGACGGTAAAAACCAATGGTTGGAACCAATTCGTGACATGGCTCAAAATGTTTCTCAGTGATGGCGCAGATGCATCCACTCCTTGTGACTTATGATTTCTAATGAAACTATTTTGTGTTCTTCGTTATTACTATACCTTTGTCTCACCACACCTGTTTACTGTCTATATTATGCATTTCTTCTACTTTCTTTTCTTGCTTTGTGTGCTACATGGAGTGGAGGGAGTGTGGCGACTCGAACTGCCGCACATATGTGCAAACTTCTATGTCGAAAACCGACCGACCGACCGAATGTCAAACTTCTACATTAAATCTACTGAATGTATATGTAATACTAAGTTGTAATTATAATATAGTTATTATTATTATTGTTTCCTTAAATTCCTAGAGGAACATAGGGCTTCAGCCCTGCGTCTCCATTGAGTTCGGTTCTCTGCTAGAGTCTTCACCTGGCTCCATGTATGCCCACACGTTTTCCTCTCCTCTTCACATGACCTCCTACTCCAAGTCACCCTCGCACTGACGAACAACTCGCCGCTTCCCTTTCGATTTCCACTCGAGCAATGGCTTGTCTAGTGATATCACTTGATGGTTTGTTTCCTCAGAGTATGGCCAATCCATCTCCATTTCCTTCTGCACATTTGTTTCACAATCGGTTCCTGCTGTGTTGGTTCGCTCATTGCCAGAGATCCCTGTTGCTGATCTTTTCTGGCCGGCCGGCCATCTGATCTTGAGTGGTATTGAGCGAAGACAACTAGCTGTTGATGAAGGTCTGTAGTTTGTTTGAGGTGCTTTTTATGACGCGCTGGCCAAGTCTCTGATCCGTATAGTGAGTATCAATGACTGACTTCACATTGGAGTTGAAAATCCGGATCTTATTTTTGATGCTGAGTGTTGTTGACCTCCACACAGACTTGACAGTAGTGAAAGCTTGTCTTGCTTTTCCGATTCTTGCATTGATAACCTCGTCAGTTCCGCCTGTAGTTGAAACGATGCTTCCCAGGTAGGCAGGTGAAGGAGGTTGTTTCTTTCAGGTTCCTTCCATTTATGCTGGCTGATTGTTGTCTGTTGTTGTTGTTGCTGTTGGTGGTGTTGCGAGGGAATCTTCATCACCTCTGTCTTCTCTATGTTCACCTGAAGTCCCTCTTATCGTCTCTGGATGCTTCTTCTGCCAACTTGTTGCTTTTCACTTGCATATCTTCCAGTTTGTGGGAAATCAGACATATATCATCAGCAAAGTGCAGATCCTCCAAGTCGTTTTTGGTTTGAGTCCATTTTATGCCTGTTTCCTCATTATATCTTCAATCATTCTATAATCCTAACTATTTCAAAACCTTGATTTTCTATAGTTTTGGTTTGTAAGGATTAGTTTTGTTTTGTTTTACGAGTTGATCACAGATTGATATCGGTCAGTTAGAGAACGATTGAAATTTAGCCACAGGGAATACTGCCAGACAGCCAGCTGTTTCATCTGCCTAGTTTGAGAATCATCGGCAGTTCACACTCACAAATACACCGGGGTTCGAACCCAGGACCTTCCGGTCACAAGGCAGCTGTCCAGTACTCCCAGAAGGTTTTCCCTTATTCTCTAACTGATATCAGTTGGTGATCAACTCGTAAAAACAAAATTAACCCTTACAAACCAAACTATAGAAAAAATTAATCTGATAGTCGCTAGTGAGTGACTTGCTGCAGGATGGAGTTTCCTGTAGTCAGTCAGTTCTAGTGAGAAGTCGTGACCAGTGAGGTGATGGTCCATCCAGATGTTTTTACGTGTGAGGATGGTTGTACTACTGACGACATTGGTTGATGCCAGTCGCGCTAAATGCATCACGAATTCGTAGAAGTTAGAATTCATGCACTGGCTGGTCACAGGATCCAGTCTCAGTGGCTCAGTGGTCTACGAGCTAGCTTGCCTTGTAACCAGAAGGTCCTATGTTCGAACCATGTATGTGAGGGGTGGGTGGGTACGTACTTCTGAATAGCCGGTCTCAAACTAGGCTGACGAAACAGCTGTCCAGCGGTTCTCTAACGCTAATGTCAGTCAGTTCATGATCAATAATACTGCTGCTACTGGATTCAATATAGAACTTACCACCGAAGTGCAGCAGTTCCAGTTGCCACGTTCCAAATAACACACAAAAGTAGACAGGAAAATGAGAGAAGAGGATCAATAGAATTTAGATAAGTATAAGAGTGAAACAGAGTGAGTATTCGTGGAAAGGCCATTGACAACGATTTTGAGCCATGTCACCTATTGTCTGTCTCCAGCCATTGATTCTTAGAGTCCCGAGGGCCCGCCCCAACCCGGAAGTCTGCATCTCCCTCCCTACCTGACTGACTCAGTTTAACTGTCAAGGATTTCATGGATTGATGAGGCCATGTTTTTGTTTGGCGTGGCACCACTTACTCTTTTCCAACCTGCACGTATATATCAGCTAGTAATGCCCGTCGGGGGGGGGAGGCGATGGCTAGGCATGTGCAGCACGTGGCCTAACCATCTCAATCTATGTAACTTTATAGCTTCTTCGATTGATTTTCCCTGATCAATAATGAAATCCTCCATTCCATCCAATCATCAAACAAAAATCCCTACAACAACAAAAAATCAATACTTTTAAAAATGGATACACTCTCGAAAAAAACAAAACAGAATCAGAAAATTACTCACAGGTGTTAACTGAAGTAGAACATTACGAGCGCCTCTTTCTTTGAAACTGGTAAAAGTAGTAAAAATATTTATTGGTAATATTTTTTAGAAAAATGGTGTGTGTGAGTTTGTGTGTTATAAATATACTACCTACCTTCCAGTGACTTGTAAAAACTCCTCTTTAAAGTAAATCTCCATGCCATATTCAGAAGACAGACGAGATTTCTACAACAAAATCAACAACAACAACAGCAGTGTGTACGGTGTATATGGTGTTATTAGAAGGAATATTACAACACATTCTTTTCAAGTATTGGTTTGGTAGGGATTTTGTTTAATTGCACGGAGGATTTCATCATGAGCTGACATCAGTTAGAGAACCACTGGAAAACCCACCTGGGAGTACTGGACAGTTGTTTCGTCCTAGTTTGGGACTCTTCAGCAGTACACACCCACCGGGATTCGAACCCAGGACCTTCTGGTTACAAGGCGAGCTAGCTAGTAGACCATTGAGCCACTGGGACCCGATCTAATGGTCCTTGAATTCTAACTTCTGCCAATTCACGCATGACATAGCGCGACCATTTCGCAATGTCGTCCTAGATGAGTTACTGCCTCATCTTCAATTGGCGGAAGTTAGAATTCAAAGGCCATTGGATCGGGTCCCAGTGGCTCAATGGTATACGAGCTCGCTAGCCCTGTAACCAGAAGGTGCTGGGTTCGAATCCCGGTGGGTGTGTACTGCTGAAGAGTCCCAAACTAGGACGAAACAACTGTCCCGTACTCCCAGGTGGGTTTTCCAGTGGTTCTCTAACTGATGTCAGCTCATGATGAAATCCTCCATGCAAATATTCTTTTCACAAAAATTCTTTTTGTCTCTTACCTTACAATTTGTATAAATTATCCCATCCTTGATACGCTCTCTAGCCAGTCGGACTTCGTCAAATGTCAGCGTTTTCGGATTGGCAGGATCACAGTTTGCATCAAACAGATCGGGATCATCTTCACTCGGCAAGGGGATATCTGAGATAAACGACTGATCAGCCTTCATGTTTTCTTGAATATATAGAGTAGAGTAGAATTGATTTTAAATCAGGATAATAGTAAAAAATCAATGAAATATAACGAACTCTGTAAGCATGTGTATATATTTATGTTATTTTTTTAAATAATAATAATTTGCTTTATTCCAAAACAGTACAGAATGGAATTCTCAGCATTTTTACTGCAGTCGGTCGGTCGGTCGGTGGGTTTTCGACATAGAACCACTTTGCACCGATGTGCAGCAGTTCAAGTCGCCACACTCCATGTAGCACGCAAAGCAAGAGAATAAAGTAGAAGAAATGCATAATATAGACAGTAAACAGAGGTGTTAGACAAAGGAATACTAATAACGAAGAACGATATAGTTTTATTGGAAATCATAAGTCACAAGGAGTGGATGCATCTACGCCAGCCAGCCACTGAGAACGATTTTGAGCCATGTCACCAATTGTTTCCAACCATTGGTTTTTACCGTCCCGAGGACCCCAACCAGTCAGGAAGTCTACACCTTACTACGTGGCTTAGACTAACTGTTGTAGATTTCATTGACTAGTGAGGCCATGTTTTCGTTGCACCGCCTCTAGTTCTTTTCCAGCCTGACCCTATATCAGCTAACATTGCCCGTCGGTCGAGGAAGGCGATGACTAGTCATGCATACGAAACACATGTCCTAACCATCTCAGTCGATGTAATTTCACAGTTTCGTCGATTGATTTCCCCACCTTACCTAGCACTCGACGGCTAACCTGAATATTGCTCAACCTATTATACCACTTCACGCGGGAGATAGAACGCAGACACCTATGATCGAAGAGAGCTAATCTTTTCTTTTCTTCTGCTCTCAATGGCCAGGTCTCACAGCTAGCCATAAAAAAGGACGGAGCGCACTGTTGAGCAGTACACGCGCCCTTTGGTCGATAGTCGGATATCACGTCTACGCCAGAGACGGCGTAAACTGGCATATGCGAAACTAGTTCTCTGTATTCGCGCTGAGATTTCGTCGGAGATCAACCCGTTGGCACTGGCTGATGGTACTTCCCAAGTAAGTGAAGCGGTCAACGTGCTCTACCACTTCACTTCCTATTTGTAATCTAGGGGTCGGTGTAGTCCAGTCCTGCAACATTATCTTACATTTTACAGGGGCGAATCTCATGTCAAATATACGAAGGTTGTGGCTCAAGGTGTTCAGTAGACTCTGCATTTTGTCAGCGTCCTCGCCTAGAAGGACTATATCGTCCGCACAGAACACGAGCCAAGTAGGGTATGGTTCACATTTTGTACTTGCTGGTGCGAGCATATAGTTTTGTATACAGGCTTCTGGTTTTGCCTGATGAGATGCAAGGGGAGAGTTGTGAGTGAAGAGAGCTTTGGTGTGAGTAACGTAAAGTGGATTTGGCCCATTTTTCACATGAGTCCATGTGCCTGCCTGTCGTCCAGAATATTAACAAGCTGGTTAAGCGGCACGTTGTTTACCCTGCTGACAACCTTTAACATCCTGCGTAATATGTTATAGTCTTTCTTCAGTAGCCCGGGAAAAACTAAGGGGAACAATAGAGAATAATAGGCAGAATGCAAGAGTTAACGAATTGTAAGAGTAAGGGTTGGGTTGGGTAATACCAGAATGTCTTAACTTCTTGATGTAGAAGGTGAGACGGAATATTTTCTTAGAAATCGTCAAGATATGAGACGACCAGAAGAGATCAGCAGATAGAATGACGCCTAGGTATTTAATTTCCGACTTGGTTTCTATTTCAGTCTATAAAAGTATAAACCAGCTAAAAATATCTCATTATTATACATAAATTGGCAAGTGTAAAGAAAAAATGGTAAACACTTACTTCCGAATGACCGCGTTTTGATGCTCAAAAGGTGCTCTAATCAGACATCGAAATCATTTTTATTCAAGTGTTGATTTGTAGGGGGGATTTGATTGATTGGTTAGAGGATTTCATCATGAGCTGACATTGGTTGAAGAGAACCATTGGAAAACCAGCCACAGGGAGTACTGCCAGACAGCTGTTTCCTCCATCCTAGTTTCGGACTCTTCATCAGCTCGCCTTGTAACCAAAAGGTCCTGGGTTCGAACTCTGGGGGCGGAGGCGTACTGATGAAGACTCCCAAACTATTCGAACGAAACATCTGTCCAGTACTCCCTGGTTGGTTTTCAATGGTTCTCTAACCAATGCCAGCTCATGATGAAATCCTGTATCTAAATCATTTGACTACTGATTAACAATTTTATGGAACTTGTAAAAAATTTACAACTAAAATGATGATGTCTTTATATAGAACCTAATATTTCCTTTTCTACCTCAACTTTATAGACTTTGAGAAGGCCTTGGACACCGTTGACCGCGAAGTGATTTGGAAACTACTCGAGTACTACGGCGTACCCCAAATATTCATCAACCTTATTCAACAGCTGTATGACAACGGCACATGTCAAGTGATCCACAACGGAAAACTCAGCTAGGCGTTTGGAGTAAACACAGGAGTCAGACAAGGGTGCTTATTATCACCAATGATATTCCTAATTGTGGTGGACTGGATTATGCGTCGTCAGACAGTGAGAAACGAGAAGACAGGGATATCCTGGACCGACGTGAAGAACCTAGAAGACCTGGATTTCACGCGTGGATGATTTATGTTTGATGTCACACAAAATCGAAGACTTACAAGGGAAAACCGACCGACAAACTGGTCGAAGAAGCAGCAAAGACAGGACTGACTCCAGGTGAACAAAGACAAGACGGAGGTTATGAAAAAAACCGACCAACCAACCAACCAACAACAACAACGGCAGCAACATCCAGCGCCAATCATCATCAAGGTTACTTCATTCACTTATCTAGCTAGGGAGCATTGTCTCAACTACAGGAGCAACGAACGAGGATGTCAAATCAAGAATCGGGAAGGCGAGAAACACATTCATCAACCTGAAACCAATCTGGAAATCTTCGTCACTCAGCAACACTCAACAAGAAAATTTGGATTTTCAATGCAAACGTCAAGTCAGTCAGTTCTTCTATACGAATCAGAAACTTGGAGGCGTGTCACAAAGAATACTTCCAACAGCCTGTTGCACACCTTTATCAACAACAACTGTCTTCGCTTTGTACTGAAGATCAGATGGCCGGAAAGAACAAGAACCAACAAGAAACTATGGGAACAAACAAACGAAACAAGAAGCAATCGCTCAACAAATATGCAGGAGAAAGTTGAGATGGATTGGACACTCTCTGAGGAGGCCCTGGGTGACATTTCGCTCAGGCCACCGCTCGAGTGGAACCCGAAAGGGAAGCGGTGAGTAGTGAGACGTCCAAGGGTGACATGGAAGAGATCATGTGAAGAGGAGTTGGAACAGTATGGATTAACATAGATGCAGGTGAAAAGTACAGCAGAATACAGAAGCAAGTAGAGACGTGCAGTTGAAGCCTTTTGTTCCACTAGGAACCTAAGGGAACAATAATAATAATATTTTCTTTGCTTGTAAACATATATTCTTGAAAAAATGTTTTGCCATCACACAATGACCAATAGAGTGTAAGGGGAATCAGTGTGGCATGGGTTCAAAATTATTCCCAATGGGTTGCGGATGCATTCGCGACTTGAAAGGTTCTAGATGCACACACCAAATCCTTCTTATTCTCCGTATAATTTTTTTTCTTCAGTACATTTCAATCTATCATATTTCTATATTAGTTTGTTTATTAGATGTATCACACAGTCAGTGAGTGAAACAGTATTAGTATTTACTGGATGACAAAGTTGTTCCCAACACAATCCATCATTATTGCTGTTCATAATCATACACATCACCAATTATTATAATCACACGACTTCGAAACTTGAGGAGTCTGATAGTTTTCTTTGTCCTCTCCTATTTGTCGTCGTCGTCATTGGGGTAGTAGAATTCTCCAGATATCTGGCTGGACAGGTGTTGAATCATTCCTATTACACGTGTTCTCTCTCACTCTCAGTTGATTCGATAAACAAAGCTTCCGTTGTTATCAATCTCTCCCTCCCTCCAACCTGCTGTGACATTAGATTTTTAAACAGTCATCCTATCCCATCCAGCCTATTGTATGGTTGTGTGGAATTGCATGTAGTGCTTGCGATAGCTGCCGAACTGTTCTCTAGATTTCTTATCTTATTCGGGTCAACCAATCTAGATTTTGTTGCTAAGTTTTATGCTCGGCTAGTCTAACTCACTCACACTCTGTTCTAATAGTTTGACCCATGTATTTGACCTGACAATCATTCCAGCAGGAAGTGTATTAATTAAATAAACTAAATTGTTTTGTTTCAGAGGCTCCACAAGATTGATCTTTTAACCGACAAAGCTTGTTTCTAATTCGGTTTGTCGTTGGTTTGAATTCCAGCCACTTTTATTCCTGCCAGCATTGTTAAAAATTCTGCGTAAGGTGGATGGTTTCCGAGGTTCCTTCCTTGTATGGAATTACTACTGATGATTTAGATTCCTTATTGTTGGTGTCGTCATTAATATTATTATTATTATCACTACTATCATTATTTATTTTATTTTTGCATTTCCCTACATACTTTCTGACTAATTTGTCAGGGTAATTATTAAGTTTCAAGGGTTCTCTTATGTGCGTATCACTTCTTGTGTTAGATTTTCCTTGGTTCTACTTAGTTTTTGTGCTCTGTCATTTAAACATTTCACCAATCCCATTTTTACTGACATAGGATGGGATGATCGGAAGTCCAAATATCTGTTTGAGTGTGTGGGTTTCCTGTAAACACACTAGTGTGTTTAACTTCCTATCTTCTTCCCTTCCTTTTTACGCTACAATCTAACATTGGCAGTTCCCCTTCCTGACTTCCCAATTCATCATAAGTGAATTGAATTTCCTCCATCTTTGAGTTAATAAAAGAGGCATTCAAACCCACAAACTCAATTACAAAAAAGCTTTGTTGGTTAAAGGATCAATCCTGTGGAGCCTTTAAAACACAACAATTCAGTTTATCCAATCTCCTGCTGCT